CTTTCTTGCTCATAGGAGCCCTATTTGGCTAAGCCCCGGCCCCACAAATGATCTTAGTTAAGGAGACAAATTGGTTAGTCAGGCCGAGGGTTCTATGAATATTCACATCAAAGGAGACTTTTCATCGAGAGGAAGTTAGAGAATTGGAATCGAAGTCGTAGAAAGGATCTACACCTTTAAAGCAACTACGTAAAGCATTATGTAAGAACTTAAAAGATAGTCCAAATAGAAGGCGACATGCACATCAAGTCCTATTTGATCAAGGCTCCACATCATAAGAAAACAAAGTAAGTATTTAACCGGTTATAATTGTCTATCAATTATAGAGAAGATCAGCTACGTCCATCGGAGAAGAATGACTATTGAGTACGCTAAGTGGTTTGATTAGTTTGGTTAATAAGATGGCCGTATGCATCACTCTGATGCAGAGGCCGGGGAACTCCTCCTTTTCGAAAAAAAAGTGGTTTGATTAGTTTGGGTGACGCGGCTGCCTAGATAACATTGGAGCAAATTAGCAAGCTAGCTAGCGAAAGTGTACTAGCTACTCATAGAGATGTGTGAGCACAGATAGATAGAGTTTTATTCCGAAGCTCCTGCAAAAGGATAGACAGATATATTGGACACTTGTCGGGAACCAATGAGTGTGACATGTCGCTTTTGCTGGGTTTGTGTTAGTCACATGCTAAGCCAGGCTAGCTTAACTAGGACTGGGAGGGATTGTTCAGTAGGAGCTACTGCATGCCTTAGCTTAGTTTAGAGCATAGCCCAGCAATACACACTACACCATTGTCTTCGTCAACTCCATGCATGATAGTACTTGTCAGTGTCACAATTAGCCACTACCACTTGTATACCATCGTTGTCATAGCAGAATTATCAACATCGCGAACCACATAAAAATAATGGGCGTATCAGTTAGTTTTCGAGAGAATTCGAGCATTTATCCTCTATTTGTTTTACACCAGCTAGCCAGCTTAACAAGTTTTCATCCGGATTACCCCATGGAGCGGAAGTTTTCCGAGTCGAACTTGCTAAACTTACGAGGCTGCAGGTCACGGAAATTAACTTATGGACAAAGGCTTCTATGTATTCCGTATAGGACTAAAGAGTCGGTCTCTCTCCACATGTGTATAGCTAGGCAGCTACGGGCTGGCAAAACAATGTTTTTTGTCATTATTAGGGGTTAGTAACTATACATCCGTTTCAGCGATAATTAATATGAGAGGGAGGGAGTGGTATTTTCTTGAAACAGATCAAGCAAAAAAAAAACTTCCAAGAAACCGGATCTCACGTCGAAGTAATCAGCTGGCTAGCTAGAGAAGACGCCCATGCAACAACTGCAAACATGCAAAAATGTATTTGTGGAAATACAACAAGAATTTGTAGAGGTCCATGAGAAAACACCTCCATTTAGTTGTGAGATTCAAAGAAAGATAGCACCCGAAAAAATGCGGCGATGAAAAAGGGAAAAGTATAGAAACTTTTCTTTTCTTGGTATCTCTCTCCGTTTGCCATGTTGTGTATATATAGAACAGAGCCACTTTTTTGTGTATATATAGAACATAGCCTTTTTTTGTGTGTGTGTTCAGGAAAATAGAACATAACCTTTTTTCAGATAGACAGAGATATGTATGGTTTTGTAATTTGTGAGGCGGCTAAATAATAAATATACTCTACGAAGCACCATTTGGTGAGACAGGACGGGGCCTCCAAGGTATCTCCTGACGCCGCCTGCCGCCTGCCGATTGCCGAGCGTGGAAGAGAAATCAACGGACGGTTCGGCGAGCACATGCATGCGTACTGTTTGTTTACAGTCAAGTGAGCCGACGACGTTTCCTCCACATTGTGCATGCTTACGTCGGTGAGCTAGCTCATCACATGCATCATCCATCCATGCTTCTTTGTCTACAGGTCAAGTGAGGTGCATGCGCCACAGTTGGACTGCCCCACTACTTCAAGTACTGCTAACTAGACACACACACACACACACACACACACACACACACACACAGAGAGAGAGAGAGAGAGAGAGAGAGAGAGAGAGAGAGAGAGAGTCGAATACATGTAAAGAGAGTTCGAGCAGAAGTTATAATTAGACCCGGTTTCACCAAACTTGGTTGTATGGTACCGGTTTTAGTGAAGCGATGATGCTTACGGCCCTACTAGCATGCTACATGTGATTTTTTAGGAAGTTAAAGAGGAGTTCGAACAAAAGGCGCCATGCTCATTAGAGCCTTGTTTGGTCAAGCCCTAGCAAGACTTACAAATGGTCTCAAGGAAACAAATGGATTAGACCAAAACTTCTAAGAATGTATGGAAGGAATCGGATTCTTCATCGAGAGGGGGTTAAATACATAAGAAAAGAAATCATGACACACATTATATGTGGTATTGTTTGGCCAAGATCGGTTGGATTTCTAGTTGGCTCTAATTTTAGTAAGGCGAGAGTACACATATTGTACATTGCAAACAATGCACCTTTAAGTGGAGTATATCATGTATATGTATAGAAGAAGTTTAAAGAGAGTACGGAGAAAATGTGACATGCACATTCCACTATATTTTGTCAATATAGACGTCTGAAAGAAACAAACTAATTGAGCCAATTATATTTTGTTGGGTATTAATTATTGTGCTTTGCTAGCTTGGTTTTGTTTTTCTACTTTAAGGAAAAGGTCAGGCCTCTGCATCAATCGATGCACACAACCATAACTTGCCTTGATATGTATATGCTAGTCGGAGGGAATTATTGAGTACATTGAGTGTTTAATTAGCCAAGTTAGTTAGTTTGGTTGATGTGGCTCCCTAATATTGGAGGAGATTGGCTAGCCACTGGAGAACTAGCTAGCTACTCCCTCCATCCCATATTATAAGAATATTTTTGACACTAGTGTCCTTCATCCCATAATATAATAGCGATTTTGACACTACACTAGTGTAAAAACACTCTTATATTATGGGATGGAAGGAGTAATTGGGTACTCCTACTACTCATAGATGTGTGGACATGGACAGATGTCTAGGTGTTTGTTCCAGATATTGCTGATAGACTTACTGAAAAACTCGGGCTCTTCCTCTGAAGCGATGAGTTGAGCGTGCCGTATCGCCTTTCTTGTGTCTGTGTTAGTCACATGCTAGCCATCTTAGGACTGAGATTGTTCAGCAGGAGCAGCTAGCAGTATATCTTAGCTTAGTTTAGAGCATGGCCCACCAAGAATACACATAACCGTATTGTTGTTTAGTTGTCTTCATCTCAGCATGTAAGTACTTGTCATGATCACAATCAATTAGCCATCACAGGCAAGCTGTGTAGCACTGCTGTCATAGCATAGCAACTTCTTAAACTACTTGAAGATAATGATCGATTTGTCAGTAAAACTTGCTTGAAAAGCCAATGCTACTTCTGCTCCGGCAATAAATAAATAAATAAAATAATGCTAATCCAACAAAAAAAAGGCTAATCTGGAGAAGCGTCGTCAATTTCCAGAGGTAAATAAATTATATACCTGCAAAAAAAAAGATAAATATGTCAGACAGGTTTTTATTCTAGATCATGCATATAACTAAGGCAGATGCAGATAGATTTGGGGTCTTGTTCAGAACAGAAGGGTTTGTGTGTGCCGTATCGTTTTCATGTGGTACTTTCTGTTAGTCACATGCTAACCAGGCAAATCCTGATTAGGACTGGGAGGGGTTGTTCAGCAGGAGCTATACTGCCTGCCTTAGCTCATTCTGGAGCATGGCCCACCAACACACACTACACCATTGTCTTCGCAGATCTCAGCATATATTCATGACAGTACTTCTCAGGATGATTAATTAGCCAGTACTAGTCGTGCACGTACCATCACTGTCATAGCAGACCAACTTTGCAAATTATCCGCATGGAAACGATCGACAACTCAATCAATCTTGCTTGGAAATCCAATGTTTGCCTCCAAAGAAAAAACATCAATGTCATAATATATGTTCTTTCATCGCTGTCACAGCCATCTGATCAAGCTTTAGAGCTAAGATCTCATTCATTTCGCGCTTGGCAAACTAAACTCCGACCCCCTTTTTGCGAGAAAACTTCGACCTATACGCACGCAGATCAAATTAACCGTGTCATTGGCGGAGATTTGGAGATGGGACTCATTTCGCGTCCGCCGCCTGATCGAAAACGGCGAGACCGAAAAGATATGTTAGGTGATTAAGGCGAACAGTTTTCCTAAGTCTCAGATGTTATTCCTTCGATTTTGCATGAAAAATCATATTTTTTTCAGTTTTTCTACCTTTCTTCTTATACTATATTTATTTGACTGAGACCTAACCACACCCGTGCTAAGGCAAAAGCTAGAAGCCTTGACGAGTTGGGTGTTTGGTGACTAAACATATACTAGTCAGATCATGGGGGATATGTGTGTAGCAGCTAGGCTATATGTGGTGTAATAGGCAGGGGAGCAGTGACACGGCGGCAAAGCAATGTCTTTGCCGTTCGGGGTTAACTGGTGAGAAAATGGCCGTCGTTCGGCCAAGCAAGCAACTTCCAAGAAATAACCTGATGGACAAGAAGCGGACCTCACGTCAAAGTAACTGACATACACGTACACACTACACTACACAGGGTGCGGTGCTAAAGAAGCTACTTCTATAAATGTACACACATATATGTGGTGTAGTAGCACTGGGCTGGAGAATGTTCAAGTGATGTGTTTCACATGTACATAAAGTAGTACTACTTCCTTGTAAAGAAATATAAAATCGTTTAGATCAGTAAAGTTTGAGGGAGAGTAGTAGCATATTAGTTGTTTCTTAGATAGATATAGATATATCCATTGATGTAAATGAGACCAACAAACCATGCTAATTCAGAGGGCTTTGTCTGATTTGTTATCCAGTGATCTAGTTAAGGTTACACATAATCCATGCTGGTACTGGTAGTACTACTTGCTGACAAGCTAGACATATCCATGCTGCACATATTGCCTCTGGAATCTAGTGCTGGCTCAACTAGCTCGTCAGAGCTTGAGCGACAGGTCCATCTCCGCCACCGCCTCCCCGCCGGCCGCTGCGGTGCTTCCAGTGCCAGCCCAGCCCATGCCCATGCTCATCAGTGGCGCCATCCTCGCGGAGTCCGGAGCAGGGGCCGAAGCAGAGTAACCCCAGAGCTCCCCGCCGCCGTCGTGGAGCCAGCGGGCGGCCGTGGAAGAGGAAGCAGTCGTGGTGGCGACGGTAATTTCGGAGGGGACGTCGCGGCTGCGCTTGGCGAGGGTGCGCTCCAGCTTGTGCGCGTTCTGGTGGCCGCCGAGCGCCTGCGAGCTCAAGAACTTGCGGTGGCAGTAGTTGCAGGCGAAGGCCTCCCTGCCGACGTTGTCGAAGGCCGCGGGAGCAGCAGGGGGAGGGGATGCCGGACGCCGTGCGCCGCGCTGCCCCTGCTGGCGCTTGGCCGTGGCCGTGGCCGTTTCGAGGCGCAGGTCGAGGCTGATGCCCTGCAGCAGCAGCTGGTGCGATTGCGGCGGCTCGCCCTCCATCTCCATGGTCGATCGATGGCCGGAGTGTGTGTCGTCGGCGTGTGGAGGAGGAAGAAGAGAGGGGGAGAGGAAGCGGTGGTGTTAGCGAGCGACCGCGCGCGGCGCGCCGGTATATAAAGAGGAGGAGGCACCAGTGGTCGAGCCCGGTGGGTGTGGGCCGAGCCGACAATGCTCCGACCGGCAGGTCCGGGCCGAGCCCGCGGATAAGGGACGTCCTGTCATTTCTGCGTATCTCAGATGTCCATCCACGGTCCATGTCACGACATTGTTGACGTATGTAGTCGATCTGCATCCAGCCAGCTTCATGCGTCCTCATCGATCGAGTCGATGCGACCGATGTCCCAGCTTTATTTTACAAGACATTTTGCACGATGTAATTGTTTTCCCTGTGCAACAAAGTGCGCCATGAAGGCTTTTGGTCGGAAAAGAAAGACTTCAAATGATTTTTCTTTTGCCTGGGAGATTTCAGTGATCTATATACACGTTCATGTGCATACGTAGTGCGCGCGATAATATCACGATGTATCTAAACGCCATATTCTTACATGGTTAAGCCTGGGTGACATGTCTGCTTAACATTGGAGGAAATTAGCTTGCAAGTGGAGTAGCTAGCTCCCCCATACATGTGTGAACATACATGGATGGCTAGGCTTTTGTTCCAGATCTTGCAGATAGATGTGCCAGATAAATTTGGAGTTTCTTGCTCTGAAGGGATGAGTTGAGTGTGCCGCATAGCTTTTCTTTTGTTTGTGTTAGTCACATAATATGCTAGCCAGCTTAGGACTGGGGTTGTTTAGCAGGAGGAGCTGGCATTATATCTTAGCTTAGTTTAGATCATGGCCCATCAAGAATACACACACACCATACTATTGTTTAGTTGTGTTTATCTCAGCATGATGGTACTTTTTATGGTGACAATCAATTAGCCAACATAGGCTAGGTGTGTACCATCACCGTCATGGCATGACAACTTTGGAAAGCCACTCGAAGATAATGATCCGTTTCTCGATTAAGATTGCTTGGAAATCCAATGCTACCTGCAAACCAATCTCTGGTAGCTGCAAGCTCCTCATGTCTACAAATCAAGTGAGGTGTATCACACTTGCGCTGCTCCACTTGGACGTATGCAACGCTGGCTAACGTGATCATCTCTCTCTGTTTCGCGAATATGCAAAATTAGCGTATCTTTTCACTGATAGAAGAAGTTTAGATGAGAACAAAGGAAGGGCACATCACATGGTACAACGACAAGATGCCGTAAACATGGTGGACGGAGCAGAGAGACATGAGATGCTCGACCCAAATATAAGCTACAACACATCAGTAAACCACCCTAGCCAAGACAAACAACCCGAAGCAAAATGCTGTCCCAAATCTCAAAATATAGCACAAGGCGCACCACGAACAATCAAGACGTGCTGACGCTCGCCGAAGCCCTCCACCGCGGCCCCCATAGCTAGGCCCTCCTCCCGACTCGTGCGCGTAGCCAGATAGGGAGGCACCGCCACTCCACAGGGAGGAGCGCCCGCCGCCTTGAACCTTGTCCTTAAGACATGGAGCCCTATTGATTATTTGGAAACAAATTAAGTAATTTACCTGGTTATAATTGTCCATCAGTTATTGAGAAGGTTAATTATGCTAATCATAAAAAATTGACTGTTGAGTACATTAAGTGCTTAAACTAGTTTGATTATTTTGGGTGACGTGGATGCCTAACTAACAATGGAGCAAATTAGCTTGCAAGCTGGTTAAAGTGCACTAGCTGCTCCTATAGATGTGTGAACACAGATAGATAAAGTTTTAATAAAAAATACGGGGAAGATAGATAGGGTTTTATTCCGTAGCTCCTGCATATGGATAGACATATTGATTTGGGCACTTGCTAGAACCGAAGAGTTAACAGTTGAGTGTGACATGTCGCTTTTGCTTGGGTTCTGTTAGTCACAGGCTAGCTTAATTAGGATTGGGATGGATTGTTCAGCAGAGGAGCTACTGCATGCCTTAGCTTAGTTTAGAGCATAGCCCACCAACACACGCTACACCATTGTCTTCGTCGACCACATGCATGATAGTACTTGTCATTGCCACAACTTAACTGATTAGCCACTACTAGCTGTATACCATCGTTGTGATAGCAGAATTATCAGCTTTGCAAACCACATTAAAATTATAGACAAGTCAGTTAAATTTCCTTGGAAGTATACCCGCATTGGATGACAAAATACGTATGGACTACACGGTCTAGACGTATACAGGCAGTTATAGAGTCAGCGTTGGAGATGCCGTAAGAAAACAAACAGAAAACATGTATTGCCAAGATAAAATTGCTATAATCCCCCAATCCATAACTGTAGCGTTACTCTTAACTAGGCAAGGTGAAAGACAAAGGCTCTTATATGTAAAAAACTCGTACCCAATCACAGTGATCTGGCACTCATGCGTTATGTGCTTATGCTGAGTTGGGTGAGGTCGGTTGGACGTCTAGTCAATGGTATCTTTTTTTTGACGATTCTAGTCAATGGTACTCCTTTCGTCCGGAAATACTTGTTTTAGAAATGGTTGTATCTAGACTTATTTTAATTATAGATACATCAATTTTCAACCATTTCTAAGACAAGTATTTCCGGACGGAGGGAGTATCTGAGTATAGCATAGATAGGCAGCTACTGTAACTGGGCGGCAAAGCAATGTTTTTGCCGTTAGGGGTTAAAGTAAGTAGCTAGCTATGGACCAAAAGTTCTTTCTTGCAGCAGATCAAGCAACTTCCAAGAAACCAGGCTAGCTAGCTAGAGAAGACGTGACCAGGCAAAAGAGGGAAATGTTACTCGGGCACATAGTGGTGCTACACGTTTCACCTTGTCAAAAAATGCACAAATGTATTGGTGGAAATACACCAATAATATGTAGAGGTTCAAGAGAAAACGACTCCATTTGATTGCGAGATACTAAAAGAAAAGCTAGCACCCGAAAAATGCGGCGATGAAGAAAAGAAAACTAAACAGAGAGCTTATCTTTTCTCGGCAAAAATCAGTGCTGCGGAATGCTCAGATTTCTCTCTCGATTTGCCACATGCTGTGGAGTATATATATGCAACATTGCCTGTTCTAGATAGACAGATATATGTATGGTTCTGGAATCTGAGAGGCGACTAGAAAACAAAAATATTCCAGGAAGAACCACTTGGCCTAGACAGGGCGGAGCCTCCCAGATATCTCCTGACGCCGAGCGTGAAAGAGAAACCAACGGACGGTTCGGCAGCGACAAGGTACGTGTTTCCCTCCGTACTTGCATGAATGCAGCGTCGGTGAGCTAGCTCATCACATGCATGCATCATCCATGTTTGTCTGTTTACAAGTCAGGTGACGTGCATCATGAACCACACTTGCACTGCCCCACAACTTGCAGCTATTGCTAACTTGATCTTCTCTCTATATATCTGCTAGAGTAGCTGCATGCCAGGAAGTACTTTCAACTGCAGGAATCTGTTGTTTTTTCCTTCACGATTTCGACCTTTAGGAGTTCTTTTACCGTAGGTGCGTTTATGCTCACTGATTCAATTTGTATGCTCTACCAGCATCCACCTCCATATCCCTTTTTCAAAGAACTGTCTTTTTTATCTATCGGGAGGGAGTAAAGAGCGTTCGAAAATAAGTCATAACTAGACTGGGTTTCGCCAACTTGGTTGTATGGTACGGGTTTTCCGGTCATTGCAGTCCGCGTCATCAGGCTTGGGATGCTCCGGGGGAAACCCTAGATCTGGGTCTTTCGGATCGGACGATGATGGCGTTTTATCACTTTCCCTTCTGGGGGCATCGTTTTGGAGCAAGTGATGGCTAGGGGGATGATGGAGCGGTACTTCATCTCACACATTGATGGCGGCGGATGCACGGAGATGTACTCGCGCAGGAGGATGTAGCTGTCTGGCGTCATGGTGACGTCGATGGCAGAGTGGCCAGACAAGGTAGAGGCCTCAATATGATCTGAAGACGGACCTGTGGAAAATGGCGGCGACGACACACGAGTGCGTCTGACCGGATTGTGCCCCAGACCCGATATGTGGCTCGGCTGGGGTTTCCGGCTTTTGATGTTAAGCTTAGGTAAGTGGTTTGGATAGTGGCCTAGCTAGCATCCCTTCATCATATGGATAGGAGTAGCGGCATATGTTGCCAAGATGGTGGATTCAGATATATTGTTTGTAATACTTTGTAAGGTCCTTAAGAATAATTAATAAAGTGACCGTATGCATCTCCCAGATGCAGAGACCGAGGGTTATCCTCCTTTTCTAAAAAAAAATACGTGCTACTCGCACGCTGCAAGGGATCTTTTCCTTTGGAACTACTACAATGTCAAAAAAGTCTTATATTTTGACATGGAGGGAGTATAAAAGAGGAAGTTAAAGAGAGTCCGAACAAAAGGCGCCATGCTCATTGCAACCCTGCTTGTCAAGCCCGAGCAAGCTTGAAATTAGGCCAAAACTTCTAAGAATGTATGTTAGGAATCGGAGTTTTCATCGAGAGGGAGTTAAACGGAGTTCATATAGACGTCATGATCCACGTTATATGGAGTATTGTTTGGCCAAACTCGGTTGCAATTCTAGTTGGCTCTAATTTTAGTTAGCTGTATAGTACACTGTCAGTAATGCACCCTGAAGTGGAGTATATGTATAAAAAGAAATTAAAGAGAGTTCAGACAGAAGGCGCAAGCACATTACACCATATTTTGTCAACGTAGACATCTGAAAGAAGCAAACTAACAGAGGCGGTTATATATATAGTTTTGAAATTAATTGGTGTGCTTTAGTAGCAATGATTTCTTTTTTAAAGGACAAGTCCAACGATTATACGTCCACCCCAGCATCAGCATACGCCCACATCCACGTTCTTTTCCCTTCACGATTTCGACCTTTAGAAGTTCTTTTACGGTAGGTGCGTTTATGGTCACTAATTCAATTTGTATGCTTTTTTTGTATTTACCTCGATTATTTCCAGCATCCACCTCTGTATGCCTTTTTCAAAGAATTGTTTTTCTATCAACGGGAAGTAAAGAGAGTTGGAAAACAAGTCGTAACTTGAGCAGTTTCGCCAAACTTGGTTGCATGGTACCGGTTTTCCGCTCCAGCTTTAGTAAAGTGATGATGCATATGTGCTACTAGCACGCTACAAGGGATCTTTTTCTTAGGAACTATAAAAGAGGAGGTTAAAGAGAGCTCAAACAAAAGGCGACATGCTTATTATATCCCTGTTTGTCAAGCCCCAGCAAGCTTCACAAATGATCTCAAGGAAACAAATTAATTAGGCCGAAACTTCTAAGAATGTATGGAAGGGATGGGACTTTTCTTGGAGAGAGAGAGAGAGAGAGAGAGAGAGAGAGAGAGAGAGAGAGAGAGAGAGAGAGTTAAGCGGAGTTCGTATAGAAGTCGTGACCCACATTATGTGTGGTATTGTTTGGCCAAACTTGGTTGCAATTCTAGTTGGCTCTAATTTTAGTCAGGTGGGATTATGTATATAGTACACTGTCAGCAATGCACCCTGAAAGTGGAGCGTATAGTACACTATAAAAAGAAATTAAAGAGAATTTTGACAGAAGGCGCCATGCACATTACGCCATATTACGTCAGCATAGACGTCTCAAACAAAGAAACTAATTGAGCCAATTATATATAGTTGGGCGCTCATTGTCGTGCTTTAGTAGCTGCCATTTCATTTTTCAAGGACAAAGTTGGGCCTCTGCATCAATTGATGCACACATCCATAACTTGCCTTGGTAGGTATATGCTAATTGGAGGAAATTATTGAGTACATTGAGTGCTAAATTAGCTAGGTTACTTAGTTTGGGTGATGTGACTACCTAACATTGGAGGAGATTAGCTAGGCAGCAGAGTAACTAGCTAGCTAATTGGGTAGTCCTACTACTCATAGATGTGTAGATAGATGTACAAATAATTTGGACTCTTCCTCTACAGCGATGAGTTGAGTGTACCATATTGCCTTTCTTGTGTTTCTTAGTCACATGGCATCTTAGCTTAGTTCAGAGCACCACTCATTAGTTGCCTTCATCTCAGCATGATCATGAGCACAATCAGTTAGCTGGCTAGTTGTGAACTATCACCGTCGTAGCATATCAACTTTGCAAACTACTTGCAGAAAATGATCGATATGCCAGTTAGCTTCTTGGAAATAAAATGCTAATCTGGGGTAGTCCATTCCCGTACATACGGGTGACGTAGAAATGATTATTTCTTTTCATGGAGAAGAAGCTAAATAGAGCTCCTGCCCTAATTTCTGCCAAGTGGGGCATACGGTACATCACTGTCAACACACCAAAAGGGAAGTTATTTGAAGAAACTACTACGTACTCCCTCCGCTCCTGAATACAAGTCTTTCTAGAGATTTCAATACGAACAACATACGGATGTATATGGACCTATTTTAGAGTGTAGATTCACTCATTTTACTCCATATGTAGTCCTTATTAGATTCTCTAAAAAGACTTATATTTAGGAACGGAGGGAGTATATGAGAAGACGTTTTTTTTGTGGGAATATATGAGAAGTTAAGGAGGGTTCAAACAAAAGGCGCCGTGCCATCATGCGTATATGCTAGCTAATTCTCGTAGATATGTGAAACATATAGATGGGTTTTTATTGAAGACCATGCATGCATATATAGGACAGATATATGGATATGCGTTTTTATTCGACACCATACATATACTAGGTAAACAGATCAGTCGAAATTAATAGGAGGGTTTGAGTGTGCCATATCGCTTTAATTTGGTGCCTTAATCTGTGTTAGTCGATCACATGCTAGCCAGCTAGGTAGCTTGATTAGGACTAGGAGGGGTTGTTCAGCAGGAGGAGCTACTGCTTCCCCTTAGCTCATTTTGGAGCATGGCCCGCCAATACAGTGCACCATTGTCTTCGTTGATCTCGGCATACATGATGGTACTCATCATGACGATCAGAAGTGATTAATTCAGCCAGTGCTAGTCGTGCAGTGTATGTACCATCGTTGGCATAGCAGACCAACTTTTGCAAACCACGTGAAAACGGTTGACAACTCAGTTAATCTTGCCTCCAAAAGACACAGTAACTTGTGGTTTTCTATCGCTCCAGGCATATGCGTACATGTGTGGATCGCATATCTGCCACTCAAGTATTGACGAGTTGGGTATTGGGTGAGTAAACGTCTAGTCACATCATGGTGGATATCTGATCTGTGTAGTAGAGTAGCGAGGCTAGGTGCGGTGACACGGCGGCTAAGCAATGATGTCTTTGCCGTTAGGGCTAACTAGGGTGAGAAAATGGATGTGGTTCATCCGAGCAAGCAACTTCCAAGAAATGACACACCCGATCGATGGGCAAGAACCGGACCTCACGTCAAAGCAAGGGGATCTATCTAGAAGATGCACCCAACGACAGACACGTACTCACTCACTAGCTACTGGTGCAGTGGTAACTGGTAAGTAAGCTGCTTATATGTATGCATGTACACACATGCTGGAGTGGTAATATTTTACTTTACTTTGGGAGAGAAGTGTACACATACATATGCTTGATCATTCACTATATACCGGATTGGTTGTTTCTTTGTATCTTATTACATGGATAGATTGATTGATACAAATGAGACAAGCCAACCATGCATGTGCATGTAACATATATATAGCTTATGTGATCTGTTATATATCCAGTCTAATTAAGGTTAAACATAATAACATACTCAAAGGGATGTGTATTATAAGTAGATCGATAAGCTGAAGCAATCGATTGCATGTAATCAGAATAATTAATTAACTAATCGCCAGGTGCATGCAACAATGAATTGAGCACCACTTGTTGAAACGCTAGCTAGCCAGGCGCATGCATGCATCCGTGCACATAGATATTGCCTCTGGAATGTATTGCTCAGACTCAGAGCTTGAGCGACAGGTCCATCTCCGGCACCGCCTCCCCGGTGGCTGCTGTGGTGCTACCAGCCCAGCCCATGCCCATCAGGGGCGCCATCGTCGTGGAATCCGGGGCAGCGGCCGAAGCAGAGTACGCCCAGAGCTCCCCGCCGCCGGCGTGGGGCCAGTGAGAGGAAGGCGTGGCAGTTTGAGCTGCCGTGGCGGCGGTGGAGGAGGCGTCGCGGCTGCGCTTGGCGAGGGTGCGCTCGAGCTTGTGGGCGTTCTGGTGGCCGCCGAGCGCCTGCGAGCTGAGGAACTTGCGGTGGCAGTAGTTGCAGGAGAAGGCCTCCTTGCCGGCCTGGTCGAAGGCCACGGGAGTAGGCGCAGGGGACGCCGGGCGCCGGGCGCCGCGCAGCTGGTGCGTGGCCGTGGCCGTGTCGAGGCGCAGGTCCAGGCTGACGCCGTGCAGGAGCAGCTGGTGCGACTGCGGCGCCTCGCCCTCCATGGTCGATGGCCGGAGCAAGCAAGTGGGTGGAAGGTACTGCGCGCGCACGAGCGTGTGGTTGTGGAGGAAGAAGATGAAGAGGCAGAGGGAGTGGCGCGGGGAAGGAAGCGGTGGTGTGAGCTAGCGAGCGAGCGACCGCGCGCGGCGCGGCGGTATATAAAGAGGAGGAGTGGTGGAGCACCGTGGATCGAGCCGGGCCGAGCCCGCGAACCAGCTCTAATTTCCTTTTGTTGTTTTTGCGTGGCCTTGAATTAATCGCCTGACAAATCCGAATATATGCCATGAAAAAAGAAATAGACGCTAGACCACAGAGTGCATACTGGCATGCATGGAGAGGGAGGAGGAAGCGGCCGGTGGACTAAAGTACTGCATGAAATGAAAACGAAATACTCCTACTAATCACCCGGCCGGACGGTATCTCCATCGATAGATGCACGCATGCATGCGACAAATGAAGCTAACACACATTGGACTCAACATGCAGCGTGGTACGTACTGTGCTCAGCTGCGGGTATGCATGCAGGTGGTCAACACGTGCGTGCAACTGTAGATATATCTCATATCTGCACCAGGCTTTGGCCTGATGCAGTGTCAGTACCACTGCGGTGACGACGGAGGAAGTGAGTGAGCAAACCGGCCGAGCTCGTCGGCGCTGGCGTAATCGCCGACCACCTCACTTCACCAGGGCCTACGTACTCGCGTCCTGTCATCTCTGCGTATCTCATATGTCTGCCACGACGACTTTAAGTTGACGTAGTCCATCTGCGTCCTGCTGCCAGCTTCCTTCGTCATCATCGATCGATCCAGTCGGTCCATGTGCTATACTGGATTCCAATTTCCAACGATCGTATACTGCAAGACAGATGTATTGTCCTACTACCTCTCTATCAAAATATAAGATGTTTTTATAGTTTAAGCAGATGATTTCTCGGTTCGGTTTTAACACGAGTTATCAGTCAGTCAATCTTCAAGTGTCTTTCTCTAATCAATAAAAGCGGGTTTTTCCTCCGGTTCCGTTCAATTGATTGAAACCAAACATCGTTCGAAGCTCCCAGGCACACCCCCAAGGGGACACGGCTCCTCTGCCGTGCGCTAGGTGACGTTGGGCCGCTGACATGTGGGCCAGGTTTCCCACAGGCCCACATGTCAGTGGTAGAACGGCAGGCTGCCGAACGGTAGAGGATCCTCGCGCCCCCCAAGGTACCAAGCTAAGATAGAGTAAACAGATCAGCCGAATCGGCTGTTATGACAAGAACACTTCCCATATTGCAAGTTCTTTAGAATGAAACTAATAACAAAGGGAGCACACGGGTTTATATGGCTCGGCCTTGCTGGAACCAAAACTGTATTGGAGATCAGTATCTGACACCGCTCTTCATCACCCACGACGTTGATCCAGCAAGAGCAGACACCGATTGAGCCTGTCGCAAAGCTCCATTGATGGATGTACACACTTAGCTTGGACAGAATGCATTTGGCGCTTCTCCAAACCCGCCCCTGGAAACATATATAGTTCATTACGCAAATTCGGTAAGCTCCATAAGAAGGCAACACAAACCAAGATAAAAACAACATCATTCTTTGGGTGGTTGCCATAGAGCAACAACCTTGGATAAAGACCAAATAATGTCAATATCAAAACATTCAGACGCAAAAGTCCAAACAATTTTACCAACCACATAGTCAAAAAATAAATAAAATAAGGGTTGAATCAATTCTGTCTCCAAACAGAACAAGCAGGATGGACACCAACAGGCTTGCACTTGGCAAGACTGTCTCTAACCAAAATCTTGTTATTAACAATTAACCACACTAAACATGTATATTTTGAGGGCTCAATATCTTCCATATGCAAAGGTGAACATAAAAAATTAATAAGGTCATAAAATGATTTAACCCAATATCTACTAGAAGGTTCTAACAACCATATACAATAATCCTTCATGTAACACAACGAAACATCACTAATAACATCATAAAGATCTTGACACATGACCAAGTCCTCGAGATCCACACATCTATGGAAGGTTAGTTTCAAATTTATCCCATCCCGGATCTGGGAGGCGGTGCAATCAATTTGATTACAAAATATTGTACAAATCCCGGAATCTAGTCTTGAGGGAACAATCCCCAACCCCCAATTCGCAACAAAAACTAATATTGTCACCATTACCAACTATCCATTTATAAAAAGGTTTAGTAGCATTCATAACCCAAGTAACACCCTTCCAAAAGGGAGAGCCAACACCAGGTCTAGACCAAAGCACATTAGATTTCGAGGTATTGTATTTGTATTCCAATTTTTTCAGTCTTTACCCTCACTTTCAAAGAACCTCCTCCCCCAAGAAGCAAGCAAAGCCATGTTAAAATCTCTCAAGTTTGGAACAGCCATACCACCAAAATTATTTTCCCTGGAAATAAACCCCAAATGGGCTAAATGGTATTTATGTGAATCACCCAAATTGCTCCAAAAGAAATGTGGAATTTGTGACTGTACAACAATAATGGCGCATTTGGGAAATTTCAGCATGCACATTAAATAATTGGGGATAGTCGCTATGCTTGAGCAGAGAAAAATAAAATCCTCACTATAAGATAAAGTCTTACTCATCTAGCCAGAAATATTCTTAATTATCCTATCATTGGTAGGTTGAAGATCTTCCCTGTGGAGTTTGTCAAAATGTCGATGAACCCCCACATATTGAGGGGAAAGAGCCAATCTTACAACATAAAATTTGTGCAAAAGAATTTGCCACCTCATCAAAAAGGTTTTAGGTGATGATATCATTTTTATCAAATTTATTTTTCATACCAGATAATCCTCAAAACAAGATTAGTTCCACTTAAATTCATGGCCATGTCATAAGAATTTTCAAGGAAAAGTAATGTATCATCGACATGTTGCAAGCTAATCACACCTCTTGGAGTAACTTTTGGAAAAATTCCAAAAAAATATAACTGAATCACAACAAAGTCAAAAAACATACTGACATTGGGGGTACATACCTTTCTTCTTCTCATGTTCCTTTTCTTCGATCACTCCTTTATTTACACAACACATATAAAAACTTTAAAAACTTATGCTAGCTTATTCGCATGGTCTGCCTCCCCAGTCGTTTAGCTCGACCGTATTGATAATCACTTTTCTTTGAGCAAAAGAGTGCACGTCCCATACCTTCTGGCATTCCAGAGTATTCCATCTCCATTGTAGATCTTAAACTCCTTCTGACGGCGATGGCGAGGGGCGAACTCGATGGGAAGAGCATGGGCAGTGGCAAGATCGGCGAAGAGAGAGGGGACGAGAGCTTGTCGTCGATAGTGCTTGTGGGGAGTGGAGGAGGAGAGGGGCGTGATGGGGACAGGCGGCTAGGGTTTTCACCCAATCGGAGACCCAGAAGGAGAGAAGCAGCCACCCTCATCAGCGCTAGCTATCCCCTAGCCATCTACCCAGCTACACGCACATACCCACCATCACTACAAGAAATATGTCAACTTGTGACCATCACTATTGGTCACTGAATGGTCACAAATTTCCATTTGTGACCCTTTTGTGACCAAAAACATAAGGTCAAAAGCTGGCCGTCATAAACTGACTATAGCGACCTTTCTTCTGGAATGGTCGAAGACGTTTATGACCAAAATACGTCTACTGTGGCGTTTTGGTCACTAGCAACCTCCCCAGGCCACGTAGGCATCCAGCATGGCAATCTGACGTGGCACAAGATTCAGCCCGGTCCAATTCGATTTTCTACATGGGCCTAGCCCAACAATTCGGCCTTTTTAATGTATTTTTTCTATCAATTTTTGATCAGCTTCATGGGCCAAGCCCAACATTGCAGCCTTTTTATTGTTGGTTTGTGGCCTTTTTGTCTAAACGAATTTAGTTTTTCTTTTTTTCCCAAAAGAAGGGTCCACTAGTCAGATAAGTGGGTCCACTAGTCAGATGTGTCCCAATTGTTAGGTTCTGGTAACAGGTTTCCATTTGTCAGGTAAGTGGGTCCCATCTATCAGACTCATATTCTTCATATTTCAAGCAGTATTTAGATTGGCAGAGACAAAAACACACACAATACTTAAACAAGAGCAACCAGATCACATAATGCAAGCTCTATTCGTGCCATTACAAAGGGCCATGTATAATACAATACTTTACAAGCTCTACAAGTGTAATATAGTACTACTTCACAAGCTCCTGGACTCGCTGGACTCTCTCATATTTCTATGCAACTTCAACAGGACAAAAACTTCGATAGTCAGGGCTGGAACCATAGTCAGATGAACAACACGCCGGACTCGCTCGACGGCGATAGTCAGGGCTGAGACCAAACAAAACAGCAACATGGCTTCATCTGTCATCCTGTTACATGAATCAGAGAAGAATGAGAAAAACTGGGGCAAATATATTATGAACAGACCATTCAATAAAAGGACATGTATTTAGAATGATAACACAAATTCAGCTAGTACCATGCTTTTTGTTGTCGAGCTAGTTAAAATGAGATAGTAGTTCATATAAGAAACAGAGACACAATATGAATATGCATGGCACATATGCAGGTTGTGCAAAAAAATGCACTACAACACATTGCACCTGAAACAAAATACCATTCTACTATCACGACCATACATTCAACTGGCAAGATCTAACAATACTCGTCAGCACACGCATACTAACATCACAAAGGTAGGAGAGAATAAAGGGAACCAAGGAAGATACCTGTGGATGATAGTGTCGACGATGATCTGGATTGAGTTAGCATTGATGAGGAAGTGGATGGTGTCCATGGTGTGCTTTAGATGCACACAACCATGAGCTTCTTGCCGCTGTTGCATCCGTTCGCTCGATGATGGGTACCAATGCATCCAAGTAGAACAAAACCACCAACATTAACCCACAACTTCAAGTACAAGCAAGTATATATCAAGTGACAGTGAAAACAAGTTGAGAAAAACACTGTAAATATCTATTTCATGTCATGCAATATTCAAACCGAATAAAG